AATCTCCTTATGAACAAAACCAAGGTACCTTCTCCAGAGTGCCTTTAATCATCTAAAGCACTGGATGGATTCCTCTAGCATATGTAGAAGCCTGAATTAAAGATTGGGTTAGAATCTCCCAGAACCCAAAAGAAACAGAGCACAAAATAGGAAAACGACATGGATAAAGATTAACAGGAAGTCAGGAACTGTTGTTGCCATAACCAGAATAATAACCCATTCACAGAAAGTACCACCTGGAGAAAATTATATGATGGTGGTTTGCGCAAAGTTCTATATTGAGAACGATAATCACCATATCCAACTATATGTATATCTCAACTGATAAATGTTATAGATGTCTGATTCCTATTGAGGCAAAATAATGCCTCAACTTTATCTGCAGACATCACATCCAGCATATGAAAGAAAACGGAAAAATAAACAAGCAATGATAAAAGCTATCTTGATTGTTAACCATAAGAATTAGTACACATGGAAATATGCCTTTAGATGGTTTCTTACAATAGAAACAGAAAACAGTCCACGGAAAGGACTCCCCATAATTGTCTCCCTCAAGATCATCTCTAAGAACTTCAACCAAGCCCCAGTCAGTCTTCTGAGTTCTTCCACTCACACGGAGACAAAGACAAATAAATGCTCAATTAGAATATTCAATACGCAGATGCACCAAATGTATGTAAGTTGATAATCAACAGCAGATCTGTTGTCAGAGAATCAGCATCATGGTTCACTTGCCCGTGATGAAAGGATGGCTCAAAGCCTGTGAAACATTCAATCTCTTGTCTGGATCCAAGACAAATATTTTCTCCATAAGATCTTTAAAATTCGCTACCATTTTTGCATCCTCTCCCGGAGATCCTGAAATTAAGGTGCCAAAATCTTTGGGCTTGATATTAACAACCAGCCTCCTTATGGCCTACAAACCAGAATAAAACATGGCTTAATAGACGGGTTTGGTATTTCCAACATGCACTTATACCTGAATTTTAGCTATCCTGGAAAAATCAAAGGATTGAATTGAATCCGTGGGACCAACCTTCTTTGAGACAGGATCCTCCCCAGTTGCAAGAAAGTTCAAATCCTGGTCAAAGTGCTGATCTGTAAATGCTCCCTGTATCAAAAAGTGTGCAATAAGATTCATGACCAGTAAATTTTGAAAAAATAAAAAGAAAAAAAAATAGAATAGTTCCTTCATAAATAAATCAGACTCGTCACCAACCTTTCGGAGCATCTTTTTTGGGAAAGGGCCCTTCAATTCCATGTGGAGACGAAGCATGTCATTATTGGTAGCACCAGGAAATAAAACCTTCCCAGTGTAAAGTTCAAACAAACAGCAACCCACGGACCAAATATCCATGGGATGGTCATATGGCAGGCCTAGAACTGCAAACAAAGAAATACACCAGTTTCGCCACCGAAAACTAACTGGAAATAAAATGAATATGCCATTATAATAAAAATATGAAACACTTACTGATCTCAGGCGCACGATAAAAACGGCTCACAAGGTAAGGGGTGATCTCATTTTTACCAGCAAACATGGCATTACCAAAATCACAAAGCTTCAGAACATTTTTTGCCTCATTCACCTACGAAAAGAAAATTACAGAAGTTATAATGTAAAGATACAAGTTAAGGCATTATGGGAAAACGCAAATAAGACCTTCACAGCCTACCAGCATGTTATCTGGCTTGATATCACAATGAAGAACCCCACAGTTCTTCAGATGCTTCAATGCTATGAAGAGTTGCTTAGCATATGCCCTAACAGCAGTAAGCTTCAGACCAATATTACGACCAAATTTCTTGAGAACTTCGCGTAAATTCATATGAAGAGATTCAAAAACTAAACATAGATGATTTCGGTACTTGAAGGTAGAAAGAAAACGAACGCAGTGGCGTCTGTTCTCAGGATCCGTGCCAACTAACTTCTTTAATATGACCAACTCTTCCATACCAGCCTTGTACCTACATGCCAGAACAAAAATAGAATAGCATAAGGTACTGAGTGATGTAAAATAATCCCATTTCAATAACATACATTTGCAGCTGAAACCAACAAAACCAAGAAGCACTCACATGGTCTCGTTATTACGAATGATTTTAATTGCAACTTCTTCAGGATCACTAGGTTTGGCTTTCAAATCCTTTGCACGAACAACAGTAGAAAAGACACCTTTCCCGTGCGCTGCAATTACCTCATATCGGCCGTCGAGTACTTCTCCTAAACGGTAGCCTGGTAGTCAACATAAAACCAACAAGTTTAATGGAAGAGTAACTAATATGACAACAGAATCAGCTATTGCCCAGATAGCTATAATAATCAGCAATATTCCTGATAAAAAATGACCAAGCGATGTACCTAAGAAAGCATCGGATAAAGAGATGACCTTCATACTATATATGAGGGAACAAAGATAAACATAAATACAAACAAAACCACTTGTACACTAGGTTTGTAGGCATGATCCACTTCAATTAAAAGTTATTCGGCCACGGTGAAGGCACAATAATATAGACTTTATAGTCAGGAACATACCATAGTAACCCTCCGCATCATCCCAATTATCATGTAGTCCACTTTTTTCAACAGCTACACCTTCTCCTTTACCCTGTTGAAAATTTTAATTGAAACGAGAAAATATACATATCAAAGAAGTATAGGGATGCATAGGGTCATAG